TTTTCCAAAGTGCACATCTATAGCCGTTGAAAGCCCTCTGATTTCGTTGCTGTGTCAGAGGGTGGCTGACACCTGCTGTAGTCTTGCTCTCCATCTCCCCTGTTAATTCCAGAGCCACTCTTTGTAAGTGAACCAAGTAGCCACAGCTTGGTGCAGCTGTTGTGCCACTGGCAGATGAGCCACAGAACCACACGTTTGGCCCAGTGACTGGAAAACAAGCCAAACCTGGACACAGCTCTCCAGCCTGACCCCTCTGGAGCCAGCAATGGCAGGACCAGTCCTGCACCCACTGATGGATGTGCCAATGTCCCTGGATGCAGAACCCAGAAGTGGAATAGCTACCTGAAGACTGCACATTTTCTCCACCCAGAAATATTTGATTAGGCAAATACACTTCAACAAGTTAAAATTACGTAAATCATCCCAAATGCCTGTAAGTTCTACCTTACTTGTTTGGTTATTGGCTCATAAGGAGGGAGCACTGATATGTTAAATGTTTCTTAAGCCAAAAAAAGAAGAAAAGAAAAAAAATCCATTCACTGCAGCCTGAATACCTTTGATTTATGAATCTCTGATTCATCTTGACAGCTACTTAAAAATTCATGTCAAACTCTACATTAATCTTGGCCAGAAAAAGAAAAGAAACGTGTTAGGGAACCAGAGGGCCACAAAATGCAGTTCCCACTGTGGGTGTGTTTAATGAAAGGCATCGATAGCATTTACCTCGCCAGAGAATCATCAGCACGTGTTACCAGATACTTTCTCTTTTTGGACTCTGTTGAACAAATGTGTACTTGGGCATAAAAATGAATCTCTAACACTGATGTCTCATGGCATTATTTCCCTTCTTTAATTTGTATGCTTTTAATGTATGTTAGAGCTTCTCGTATGAAACTAAGATAATACAAACTTTTTTTTATATAAGGGAGAAAAGACAAATCTATTACTTTTTTAAAATTTCTTTTCATCCCAGTATTGAGCATAGATGAGATTAAAAACATAGCTTGATGATATGATTGATAAATAGCATTCTCTATAATGCCTTGGAAAAATGATCATAAACTTAGTAAAATGCCTGAAATTGATATACTCCAGTAAATAAAAGCAGCTGCTTTCCTCTTGCAATGACTGTGTCTTCTGCTTTGCATTCCGAAATGCAGTTTTATTTAGTATATATCCATGGCAATTTGCTTTGTGTCCTGTGTGTTTTAAAGGATCTTAAAAGGCCCTAAGCTCAAGGTGGCAGAGGCTGGGAGGCCCACTCCCTGTCAGAGGTGAGGAGGACAGAGCAGAGAAGGGAGGCGTGTGGCTGCACTCCTGTTCAGAGCCAGTTATGTTTCCACCATGAACTACAGCCAGAAAGCTGCACTGTTGCTTAATCAGAAAGGGCAGGTGATGAAAAACAGGAACGAGGTTAAATCTGTGCAGGAGATCACGCAGTTTTTTCTCCCTCTTTTTAATTACTTTGCTCTTAGACAAAGGTAGGATGTTACTGTGGGGTGCTTGTTTTAGTATTACAAAAATACCAATTTCAGAATTGAGCAAATGAATATGATTATTTACTTGCAGCATCTCACATCTCCAGAAATATATTAAAGCTATATTAACCATAATTAAACACAATTAAACATGTTGTTAAAGTTTTTCAAGAAATGCAGATTCGAGATAATTAAACAGTTTAGATAGTACTTATATTTTCTACTGAAAAAGGGTTTTTCTGTGTCTCCATTTTTAAAGACTATCAGGTAATATTCATACAGTGTCCCAAACTGTATTGAAGATGATGTTAAAGTCTGTACTGGACAAGTCAGTGGGTCTGAATGGTGGGTTTTAAGAACAGTTGAAAAAATTCATTTCAGTATTTTTGGCTGCAGAATTTTTCACTGTGGTTTCTTTTTGGGTATGTGTGAGGTTGTTGCTTTTGTATTCTTGTAGAGTGAACTTAAAATTTTTATTTCCTTTGAAGAAGGGAAAAGAACAAAGGAACCCATGTGGACAGCTAAGCACTGCTCCAGACAATTTGTCTTATTGACTGCAGGAAAATTACTGGCGTGGCACCAGTGCCCTTCTCAGCCACTTTGAGACTTGGCAAATTCTCCCTAAGCTGTTAGGGTAATGTTTGCATTAGCCTTTTGTAATAAACAGGGATCAAAAGAGTTGCAAGCTACTGTAAAGGTGGGCTCTTGCTAGAAAAAAAAATAAAGGTAAATAGCTGAAAATTATTAATCCTTTATGCAAAATTATCAGCAGAAAGGTAAAGTTTCTGACCGTGGATATCTAAAACTGTTGACTTGGCCAGACTATTGATTTCCCCCTATTCATTGACAGACCTGTTCATAATCAGGAAAGTGTTACGGTGGAAAGTCTCACAAGAGGAAGAGTGGTGGTGTTTGCACTTCTACTCCAAGACTTGAGAGAGGAGGGTTCAGTTCCCAGCTTTGCAGCAGGTTTTGTGTGTGAGTAGCAGCAGTCTGTCACAGCTATTTCAGTACCTCCAGGCACCCAGCAGAATTTTATAGTTTCCCCCACAATTAGTGTTTTCTACTGAACACCACCCCTGTCTGCTTTTGTATATCCTAAGTCCTGCTAATCACCTCCTGATCTATAGCATCCAAATACATTTTTAAAATCTGGTTTCTACCTCACAGGGGTTTTAGTGAAGAAATGTCTGAGCTGGGCCATGAAGACTAGAACACAGTGCTGCCCTGGTGAAGCTCATGTTGGATACCAGCTTGGAGGGAGGGGGATGCTGCTGGAAATGAAGATCTCCCTCTCACAACCTCCATTTGTGGCTGAGTGATCCCTTCCCACCTCCACAAATGTCCCGACACAGGCAGAGCTTTCTCCTCCTGCCACAGTCAAAATACAGATAGCCATGGGATTAACAACATGCTGGCTGATTTCCTGGAATTTCAGCTGAAATTCTGAAATCCCACCCCAGCATTGCTCTCTGGCTTCAGACACCCCCAGTTTGTAGCTTTCCAAGTGCCAGTTTGTGATCAGTTAATATGCTGTTGTTTCTAGCATGTTTCTACATTACGATACATCCTGTTTGTCCTTAGCTGCTTTGTGCAGTTCAGGATTTGACTATTGCAAAACACAGTTTAGGTGTAAAAATAGTCTACATGCTTGTTTCATGAAGTAAAAGAACAGAATATCCCTAATATTAAACCATGAACTAGAGATAGTTTATTTGTAAGGCCGGAAAAAGCATTTAACGACCTGCTAAATCCCAAATCGTTTCATACTATGTATTTCATGGACACGGGGGACATAAAATTATGAAAAGAAAATTGTTTCAGCAATGTGTGACGCAAGTAAAGTCAAACAGCGCTGCATGGAAAGGAAAACTGGTGCAGAGTCGAGGATAGATTGGTGGAGGGCCCTGTTCACAGGGTCATGGCTTTAGAAGGCTTGGCAAGACTGTAGGAAGTCCTTGCTTCATCCCATTAGTGGGATTTTGCTGCCTCAGCTGCGCTGACTTCCATCCTTGTTGGGGCCATGCTGCAAACTGTGTCAGAGGTTTATCTGGGCTGCAATAGCATTTTCTTTGTGGAATTAAACAGGGCTCTTGACTTTAAACTTGTATCAGTTGGAGAGTCCAGCTCCCAGCAAGGGCTCCCAAATGTCTGTGTGGGCTCGGGCTGTGGGGAGCTGCTGGGGACACGCTGAGCTTCTTTTGCCCCTGCAGCTTTCTCCTGTTGCCAGCCTGGGGTGAGGGCAGTGATGCTTTGGTGTGCTCAGGTTGTGAAACCGTGTGGGAATCTGTGATTGAAAGTATTTCTGATCTGAATGCAGAGTTTGGAGGGGGCTTCTCTGACAGACTCATGACCCTGCAAAGTGGCCTGTGATAAATGTGTATGGAATGTTGGATGCAGCACAGCTCCCTTTCTGCAGTGTTTACAGCAATATCATCTTGATAAGCCTCAGTAGTGCTAGAAATCTGTGTTTATGTCAACCCATAAAACACATTTTAGGTATCTCACCAAGACTAGTGTATAGAAACACACTGTGTAATGGTTTAGGTTGAAACCTTCACCAGATCCATCTTCTGACTTCCTTCTTGGTAAGCACGAGGGGAGAGCAGAAGAAAGCACAGCTTTCTTGTTACTGTTTTGACAAATTTAGACAAGTTAGAGGTCCAGGCAATCACCAACTGTATGAAGTTTAACAAGTGCAGGTGGCAGACTCTGTACCTGGGATGGGACAACCCTGACTGTGTATAGACTGGGGAATGAGAGGCTGGAAAGCAGTGCCACAGCAAGAGACCTGAGGGTCCTGGTTGATGGCAAGTTAAATATAAGTCAGCAGAGCCCTGGCAGCCAGGAGGGCCAACCATGTCCTGGGGGGCATCAGGCAAAGCATCACCAGCCAGTCGAGGGACAGGATTGTCCTGTTCTGCTCTGCACTGGGGCCACCTAACCTCGGATATTGTGGCAGCTTTGGGCACCACAATATAAGAAAGATATTAAGCTATTAGAGAGTGTTTACAGGAGAGAAACAAGGATGGTGAAGGGCCTTGAGGAGAAGCCGTGTGAGGAGCAGCTGAGGGCACTTGGTGTGTTCAACCTGGAGAAGAGAAAACTGAAGGGAAACCTCACTGCAGTTACAACTTCCCCACAAGGCAAAACAGAGGGGCAGCACTGATCTCTTTTCTCTGGTGACTGATGAGAGGATCTGAGGGAACAGCATGAAGTTGTGTCAGAGGTGATTTAGGTTAGATATTAGAAAAAGGTTCTTCACCTAGAGGGTGGTTGGGCACTGGAACAGGCTTCCCAGGGAAGTGGTTACAGAACCAAGCCTGACAGAGTTCAAGAAGTGTTGGGGCAACACTCACATACCTGGTGGAATTCATGGGTTGGTCCTGTGCAGGGCCAAGAGTTGGACTTCAGTGATCCTTGTGGGTCCCTTCCAACTCAAGGATATTCTGTGACTCTATGACTGCCTTTTGGGGATCCCTTGTTTTCCTTAAAGGTTCCTTTTCTCTCTCCATCTGACAGGTTTAGAAGACGTTGTAGCAATAATGATTCCTGAACCCAAAGGAAAAGAGATAGTGAGCCTCCTGGAGAAGAACATTACTGTGATGATGTACATAACCATCGGGACGCGCAACCTGCAGAAGTACGTCAGCCGGACCTCTGTGGTGTTCGTCTCCATCTCCTTCATTGTGCTGATGATCATCTCGCTGGCGTGGCTGGTCTTCTATTACATCCAGAGATTCCGCTACGCAAATGCCAGAGACCGAAATCAGGTGAGCAGGGCCGGAGTCACTGATTTGTGTTTCCAAAAGATCCCCGCGGGGTTCAGCTTAGAAGTAAAAGTAGAGGAAGTTATGAACGTGTGGAAAAACAGACAAACCAAAACAACAAAAAAAACCCACAAGAAAGTGAAAAGAATAGAGATATAAAAACTTCTGCATCTGGGAAAAGCCAAGACTTCTGTCCATATGGGTGGGATTCAGGAAAAAAATTAATCATGTGTGTATGTTATGGAGGTTTTTCCCATTCAAAACACACAAGAAATAGACAGAAAGTTGATGATGTTTATTCATGAAAAGCTTGTTTTGGTGCATAAAGCCAAGTGACATAGCAATGTATATAACCAACAACCCTTGAGATTACAATGATGACTAAAATACAGAGATATGTGAATGTCTGTGTGTGAAATAATGGTTCACAATAAGTGAAGAAAGAACAGAATGTGTTTTCATTTTCATACTTCTTTAGAAGGGTCTTGGGCTTGAAAAGCAAACGTGTCCCTCTTCATTTGACAATGATCACTGAACATATAAGTGCTGTAGTGATAGCCACCAATGCTATTAAATGTTATTATTGCTACTGGTTTTGGCATCTTGTCCAAACTCCTTGAAAGAGATACAAAGCCTATAGGGCTGGAGAGAAGTCAGCAGTGGGAATGCGCCCTGAGTCCTGAGCCCTGAATTTATAAAGCACTGTCCATCTTTATGGTAGTTCAGCAGAGAATAATAATAGGAATGATAATAATAAATTTAATCTGTTCTTGTCTGGATACAACTATCTCAGCATCAGCAGAACTGGAAAGCCGAGGCTTCTACATTTCATTCTAATGGTACACTAGAAAATGTTATCAGTGTATGAAATCTGAGGAGATAACCATTTTAATGCAGGGAAAAAACGCACTATAATTCAGAGAGGTTTCTGAACCCTCAATAAATTACTTTCAGGGCCAGGAGGGTTGCCTTGCTTATTCTGCAGAAAAGGTAAAGCTGAGAGTGTTAATAATCATCTTGTAGAGAAAAGTACAGCCGCACACTCTGTAACATATACTTGATTATAGGAATCCCTTGCCCTCCCCCATTGAAATTCAGGCATCCTCTGAGATAGAGTGCAGCTGCTCTGTATTTACAGACAGAAAGAATATATTTTCCTTTTAAATATACGGTCTGAAATTTTGGATAGCAAGAATGAGACTATCCCAGCTGGATTTTGAACATCATTGGCAGCAGATTCGCTGTGACTGTAATGGCTGTTGTAATTTTTAGATGCTTTGTCTGCAAAAGCACATGGCTGCCTAATTTGTGTGTGTAAGTGTGCTTTCAATCAAGTAATTATACAGGCCGATTAGCAATCTAAATAGAGATACATAAACATAAAACTCAGCAAAATAAGAAGCTCAGTCAGGTAATGTGAGGTTTGGAACTGATAGGTTTATATGTTCAAGCAAATTTTCTTTTCAGTGTTTTCTTTCCAAGGTTTGAGTGAGACTAACATGTGCACAAGCAGTTGTCCTGTGGAGAGGTTTTAATAACTTTTATATTTTACTAGTTTTGTTCTTCAGAAGAATAAGAAAGCATGCCTCCTAAGAATTTTTTTTTGGCCACTTTTGCACAATAATATGAGACAAACTAGAATGTCTTCATGCCCTTTCATCATACAATTTGTCTGACGTCTCTTCTAATCTTTCTGTCAACTCTCTTCATATGAAAAATGGCAGCAATATACAAAGCTCAATGATTTTTGTTAATGCATTGCTGTGGCTTGTTTGTTTTGTTTCTTTCAGTCCTGGCTATGGAATATAATGATGTAGGTGGTTCAGAAGAGCTCATCTTGCTCTTGGCCTTGCCATGAGGGTTCCTCCCTGTTCCCTGTAAAGTTCTGCCTTTTTTTTTCTTTAACATATTCTCTTATAGCACAAAGATGGGATCACAGATTTCTACAGTAATACCTCGGATATTCAGATAAATACAAAGAAAAACTGTTTGTGTGGCTTTGCTGGAGCAAGGTTCTTTAGTCATTGCACTCAAAAGCTTTTAGCATTATAACTTGCACACGTCTGTTGCTATAAAGGTGTTGTGCTTACTTGTTGGAGAGCCTAGCGTGGGTTGGAAGCACCTTCATTGCTGACTAACTTTAGAAGAGATGCTTTCTTTCTATTTGTATTTGATGTGTTCAGGCTAAAGTGTATCCACAGGCTGAAGTGTTTGGATAAACAGAGGTGGAGGGGGAGCTAGCTGGTCTGTTGAGAGAAAGTTGTACTGTCAGTTCCTACCCCACAGTGCAATGAATTTTAACTGTGCACACTGAGTGCCCTGTTCTCAAAAACCTGTCACTCATTTATTAGACTTCAGTTAAAATAATTTAAAAATAAGTGTTTAAATTAGTTTTGTCATCTGAATTATTTAAAGCCACACAGTTTTTAAAACAAGGGCTTGTGAGGCCCTATGTTTTCTATGTCAAATAAGAACCTATGCCTATCTCTTCACTAACCTGTGCCAGGCGTGGGCTTTGGAGGTTTGGCTGATACTGAATTTGATACAAGGGGCAGTTTAGCCTCCTGTGGGTTGGTAGTCTGGGTACTGTGCTGAGAGAATGGGACAACGTGTCTGCAAACTATGACTGGCAGAAAAAGCTGTTCTCTCCAAGCAGAAGTGTTGCACTGTTACATGAAGGCAAGATATTAGAACATCTTTCCTTGGTCACTGTAAGTCTCCCTAAATCATCTTCCATTTTGCCTCTTCCAAGCTGACTCATTGCAACTATGTCTTCCTTTCATGAAAAACATCATGTGTCCTTTTGTTGAGCCTCATTACTACCTTTGTCTAGTCCTATTATATATGGGGACCCTCCTTTCCAGGTCCTCTTCCATTCTTGCACACAGCATAAGTTTCTGAGCAAGCAGTAAATCCAAAAGGAACTGATTTAGTTGTCCATCAGGAAAGCGATGAGTGCAGCTAGCAAAGAACCAACTACAAAATGGTTAGGTATCAATTTTTATTTTAATATATTTAATATTTAAGAGTACCTCTAGCACAGACAACTGTACAGTACATGTGGCAGTAGAAGATAGGTAGTAATATTCATATGGATGAACGTTTTTTCTTCTGACATAACAAGATGTTGCCCTGATAATAATCCTTTTGATATGAAGAGGATAGATTTGTGTAAGAAATGCATAGGCAATCTGTTTCCTCAACAGCTTGTTCCTGGAGCCTTCCTGAAGATGAGAGAGTTTGTAAAAAACCGTGAGAATTGTTTGCATCATGAAACATCACGTTGCAGAGCTAATTAGAAGTAGTTTGGAATTATATGACAATTACAGAGTCAAAATCACAAAATATTCAAGTGCCAGAGATAATTCAGCAGAATGTGGCTTGCTGTCACAGCCCTGTAGCAACCAGGACACAGACTTAACAACAACCAAAAAAGAAAAAATCAACCCTGTCAGTGTGTCAGATTTCATATTTCACCAGTAATAGTAGAGTTCTCTTGCTGTTGTTTGTGAGGAGATGATGTTCCAGTGCCAGACTTCTTTACCGTATTTCTTCCATGTAATTTCTTTCCACTGGCTTCTTTTTAAGAGGAAGGTTTCTGCAAAGTCATTTTGAAGCTAGGTGGGCTTCATTAGTTTGGCAGGACAGTGGAAGCCAAATCAAGTAGCAATCTCACTGGGGTTTGGGAGGATTCCTTGCATCCTGTGTTAATCTTTAGTATGTGGCTGTCAGCATGTGGAGCAGTTATTTGAGATGGAAGATTGCTGGCTGTGGCTTTGAGAGTTTTGGGCCACTGAATAGAAACATCAGTCTTTGAAGCAGTTTTGGGAAGATGCTTCCCACAATGGAGTCTGCAAATTTTAAATGTGGACAGGAGATGTGTCTGAGACCTTGTCCCAGTGATGCGCTTCATTTTGCACAAGGTGATCTCCTCCTTGCAAAGGTGATATTTAGTAAGGACATTAAGAGAGAAGAACTTACTGTAATTCTTTTTCTCTAGCATTTACGGTCATTTACTTTCTCAGGAGCACATGAGTGATGCTTTCCATGCTACTGTCCTTTATTTTTAACTAGGATCCCCATTTCCATAAAACCACTGCATCTCATATGCTTGACTCCTTCCAGTCCAGTACTGAATGTTGCAGCCATGCTAATGAGATTATGAGATTTATGATTGTAAATCTCTAAGCCTCACTTTAAACCCTTAGACTATTGTAATGCCTCTTAACTTTTAGGAGATATCATTGGTTATTGATAGCATGCCTTGCATTCAAATGGGAGAATCCTTTGAAAGTATGCCTTTACTCCAAGATATTCCTGTTCTTTGAAAAACTAAATTACTCTCATTTCCATGTAAGTCATGAACTTTTCTATTTATGATAGATAAGAGAAAGCAAACATGAAAACGAGCAGATCAAAGATGTACATGAGTTTTTAATCTTGTCCTTTCCCCTTCAAGTGCGTGCAAAAAAGAACTGAGACATTTCATTAGTTTAAGTAATAATAATGATAAAAAGGAATCACAAGCAATTTCTGAAACAGGACATAATGGCTCTTGTCTTGCTGTATATTATCAGTCTGTCTTTGATTTACATTAAAGAACCAAATAGCTGGCAAGAAATGTTTCCAACTCTCATCTGATCCCTTTATTTAAGGGACACTGTGAGAAAAATGGACCACAGAAAGAGATGTTGTATAACTGCAGGATACTCCCTCACATGCAATAATTAGTTATTGTGGGAAGCTCATATATAAATCTCATATGATAGCCAAGATTGTTTTCACCTCTTTAGCCAGATCTGAAATTGCTCTCTGCTTTCAATATTGCATGCATTTTGTCAGCTTCCATGTCTTTCCAATCCAATAAGCTTACTCTCTAAATTTAATTCAGTGATTTTAATTGAATCTGAAGAACAAAGTGGTAATTTATTAGTCATATCTGTATGGTGATTAGGCCTGAACTTACAAACTACCTCCAGCTTCCGTCCATTTTTGGCTTCATGCTCTCACCCCCTCCAGCTGGAAACCCTTCCTGCTGACCAGTCCCTCTGAACTCCAGCACAGGCAGTGTTCCCAGCCAGGAAAGTTGAATGTCTTCTGAGTCACCAAAGGCCCTAAGTCTCTCTCCTATCTAACAACACATGGCTGGAAACATGGATGGGGAGAGGAGGTGAACGGAAGAGTTCAAGTGGTGGCGAAATGGGATGCGCTGTATTATGAACTGTTACAAAGCTGACAAGAAGACACTGGAGTAGGTGTTGCTGCCTGGAACTGTATGACAGAGGCATGAAAAAAGTGAGAAGTGACCAGGAGGAGGGTCACCACTATGATCTGGGGACAGGAGCACATGGCATCTGAGGAGAGGTGAAGGGAGCTTGGCTTGCTAAGCTGGGAGAGGAGCAGAGGAGGAGGAGAGAGTCTGCTTCCAGCCTTCAACTGCATAACGGGTGGTCGGAGAGGAGTCAGAATCAACCTCATCTTGGAGGTGCACATTGATGGTCACAAATTACAGCGAGGGAAATTCCATTAATATGTTTAGAAAAGAAAAAAGACTGAGATTGGTTAAGTGCTGGAACAAATTATGCACAGAGGTTGTGAAATCTCCCTTCCTGGAGATATTCAAAACTCGACTGAACACAGCTCTGGCTTTGAAGTTGACCCAGCCTTGAGCAGGGGGCGGTTGGGAGTAAATGACCTCTCAAAGAGTTTTCCAGCCTGTGAGTCTGTCTCCAGATGGCCTTGTCGAGGGGTTAGCACAAGTGAGCAGCCAAGTCCTTGGAGCACTGATACAGCACAAGCTCCATAGCACAGGACCGCTGAGCAGTGGTTGTATGGACTGCCCTGCAATGGTCACAGCCTCTTGCAAGGGACAGACACGTCTACCTTCAGCATCTGAGAACAGGGTGTTTTGCATCAGGCTGTTATTGCATACTTTAATCCTGAGTGGCTGTGACCTTGCTAGCACAGTAATGGTGTCTTGGAAATATGGGAGAACAGTCAAAAATGTCACATGGTAACCAATTTATGGTCCACTTGAGGGAAAGATAGGGGAAGAATGAGCAAATGGTTATGTATGGATAGGATGTTACTGCAGGACTATATAGTGCTTTACCTGCAAGTAAACTGCAGATGCTTTATCCTCATTTTTATACTTTGCATTGCTTTTATAAAGTAGGCAACTCTGTATTGCGGGAAAAAAGAACAGGAGAGACTTTTCGCGGTTTTTGTGGTTAACAAATTAGCAGCTCACTTTCAGGTCTTACATCTTACTGAAGATCATGAACTAGCAATGAAACAATGTACAAATAAAGTTCAGTGTTCACTTTGCTTACTGCCTAGTATTTTTTTTTTAAAGTGTCATTAAAAAAAGAGAGGGAAGAAGTGGGATGCCCAAATAGTTGACTTGTTACATCTGTTGGTACTCACTGCTGTAGTTTAGTGCCAGGAGGGGCTCACATGCAATCTCCACTGGAACTCTATCAGAGTAGTTTGGCCTCATCTGCTCTGGGTTACCAGCAAGCCTAGAACACCTACTGTGGTCTTATTATGAATTATTATGTTTATATTTATACACTCTCCTGTTCCATGTACAGTCATTTGCAATTATTAAGAAGGGTAGGGAGAAAAAGTGATGGTTTCTGCATGAAGAATTGCTCTTTTCATAAGATCAAATTTTGTATTACAGCGCCGGCTTGGAGATGCTGCAAAGAAAGCAATCAGCAAGCTGCAAGTCAGAACGATCAGGAAAGGTGACAAGGTAATTTTTCAAAATGCTTGTTACTAAATGAAATTCAGTGCTGAGGATTCTTTCAGACCTCTGGGACAATGAGGCAGAACAGAAATGGCAATTGCTTATTTAGCTACTGTGTCCTTCAGGTGGAGGAGGAACGTTGGTAAGCAAGTTATGTGGGGAACGGAGTAGAGAGGGTGATTCAATAAAGATGCAACAAACCCTTGAAGTTAAAACATGCTAACTAAATCTACATGCTTCCCAGTGCAGGTTTCTAGCTGGAAACATATTGGAAAACATTACTTGCTGGTCTTGAAATGCAGTTACTGGATTTGCAATCTACTTCAGTGACTGTTTTACTTTGTCACATAGGCTCTTGTATAGAGAGATGAGCTAACAAAAATAAAAAAAAATGAAAATTATGAATGTTCTCTCTCCTGTAGGAAACTGAGCCAGACTTTGATAACTGTGCTGTTTGTATTGAAGGCTACAAGCCCAATGATGTTGTCAGGATATTGCCTTGCAGGTAAGTTGAAGTTGCTTTAGCTCTAATAATCTCTCTACTTCAAGACAGTCTCTGTTCTCACAGTTTCACACTGATGAGATTACCTGAGAGCTGGGGGAGGAAAGGGAAGGATGAATTTGTTATTTGGATCTATTCAAAATCTGTTGTTAAAGATATCTGAAATGCCTCTTTATTCAGCATGAAGTGAAACAGGTATTAATGGTGGTGAGACCTTGAGGGTTTAGTATAACAGTGAGAAATTTTGTCTGATCTGGACCTATTACAAAGGTCTTCGGTAGGATTTTTACGCTAAAGGTTTTGATTCCTCTGTTTTCCTCACTTTTTTTTCTTAATCAGTCCAGAATAAATGCCTTAGGAGAATTTGCTTCTGACTTCAAGGTGAGGCCTGGCCACAGCAGACAGGGATAGAGCAGGCTCCTGCTCCCCATAGAGCTACTTCTTTTGCTGTCCTGGGCCATGTTCAGGCACTGAGGAAGGGCTGACTTTTGTCAAAAAAATCTCCAGTTATAAAAAGAGATACACTGAGTAGAAGGAGTAAAGCAAGGTGAGAAGAAGAGTTTTTCAGTGTATTCTTTCTCCTTTTTCCCCCCTCGTGTGAGCGTACCCTGTGCAGAACTTACACTTGCAGTAATGTGAAACAGGAGCAGAGCCTCCTGCCACCCCTAACAGCTGTATTCACCTTTGTGCTGTTGTATTGCCATCTGTGAAGTGACATGAAGGATTTCTCTAAAGAAATCAGTTTCTTAAGAAATTTCCTAGGAACACTGGTTCCTCCAGGAGAGCAACAGCAAGTGTTTGATTTCCCTAGATATAAGAATCTTAAGTGCTGTGCATGCAGAGCAGAGGTTTTTATTTTTTTAATAGAGCTTCTTCCTTCTCCTGCATCATATTCACTGGCTTGAGAAACCAAAATACTTGTTTATTTTCCTGCTATGTTGTTCCCTAGTAGATATTTGAATGTTACAAGCTGTCCATTTCTGTTAGTTCATGCAACTCATTAAATCTGTTTACTGTCATCTCTAAGTGGCAAACAAAAAGCAACAGATTAATCATAAATTTGACCTACTGTAAATCCCCCACAATGACAAGTCACATGTGAACTCTTTTTTTGTTTTACAAACAAACACAAACACATCATCTTGTGAAGCAGAAATACAGAACAGTGAGAAATTACCAGAAAATATGGACCTCGGTTTGACATCAAGCCTGTTTGCATAGAAGCAGAATAAAGCTTGGAAATTTTGCATGTTAGAGACAGGCAGTGTTTGGAGGTAGTTATACAACATCCTAAAATATGTCTAAGCTTTAGCTTTCACTTGTGTGTCACCCCATAGTTCAGTAAGACTTTGTCATGCACAGTGTTGAGTCAAGCAGAGTGGATAGGAAACACATAGTTAACAGGTGGTGTTCAGTTCTTGGCTGACTTAAAAGGTCGCCCAGAAAGTGACTCACGCTGAAAGGGTAGAAGCCGCAGAACTGTCTTGTAAAATACTCACAGTTTGAGCCTCAGCAGTCTGGAATTATAAAAACTCATCTTTCTCAATCAGCTACTTCACAACCCCCTGGCTTTCCGGCTACACAAGTTGTGAGGGCAGTGTTTTGCGTGTTCTCACGTGTTTGAACTTCTGAAACATGAAATGGTAGTCTTGACTCTTTCTGCTGTTGACAGTCTTGTCTCCTCATTAAAAAAAAAAAGAAAAAAAAAGATTAATTTCTGTGTCTATGAAGTGAGTAGGAGTGTGTTATATCTTGATAAAGACCTAGAGACTCTGTAGTTTTTTTTCTCCAGCATCCTCAGTTAAACCATGTGCAGTTTCTTAATGTGGGAACATCATTAGACTGCTGTTTAATGAAAGGCTGGCATGCCACCAAGCTTACAGAAGCCAGCACCATATGACACCAGTGCTGGCTAACCTTGGTGTTTCTATCAGAGATGTAGAAGGTTTTATCTGCAAAGCAAAATATGCCCCAGGAGTTGCACATGAAAGGTGCTGCCCTGTACTGCAGGTAGTACTGGGAAAGCCACTGCTGGCAGGCACACTCTGTATAAAGCCCTGTATGTCTTGAGATTTCTCTTTAAGACTCTTTAAGACTTTTTAAGAGCCTGAATCTCCTAAGAAGTTGGTACCAAAAGTCCACCTGCTGGTACTGCAGTGGGTGAGCTCTGAAGTCAAATAGCTACATGTTTACTAGGATTTAGGCTGTTTCCCCAAACAATCCTCTTTTCTGCTGGCACTGGGATAGCCTGTTGTTATGTACCCCACTCTGAAAAGCTCAGAGGAGAATTCTAGTGAACTCGTGCTTCTTCCTCTCTGTCTTCTTCAGGCAGCTCCCACAACTGACTGTATTAATAAACTTCACTCTGCAGAGTGTATTAAATAAATAAGGAGTGACACTTGGTAAAAAAAAAAAAAAAAAAGTGTTGACTTGCAGCTGGTTTTATGTTTAATGGTAGCAAACATCACTGAAGTTGTCTTTGAGGGCACTGACACACGATCAAATGTAACCGAGTTCATTGTTCCCAGAGTGACATCCTTGTCACAGCCCTGGTTCGTTCTGCTTGTCCTCCATCTCCAGCTTCAAAATGCTGTTGCCTTTTCTGCTCTAGCTTTGGAGAAGTTACTGGTGCTGCTGCCCCCAGCGTATGCCTTTTACTAAACTTCTACTAACTACTAAACTTCTACAGAGAGGCAAGACATTTCTTTCAAGATTATCTCTGCTGAGTTCCTCATAAGCTTTTTTTTTGGCTGTTTCATTTCTCTCAATAATAAACACACTCTCTGACCCCATTCCAGCTCGTTCTCTTCCCCTGAACCTTCACTCTATGAACAACTGTGATTTCAGTCTGCTTCACTCCTGCTTTCTCTTTTTATTAGCTTCCTTTGAAAATTATTTCATAGCACACATTCTTTCCTTTCATTCCTTCCTCTCACCCTCATCATCATCTTCTTTTATCCTTCCTTTTACCTCAAAAGTAAACAAATAATACCCTAGATGCACCCCTAAAAGCTCAAACCATCTTGTTGGATACTACAGTGCTGCTCAGTCTCTCATCAAAACCCTTCTCAATCCCCTGCTTTAGCCCTATGTCTAATCCAGGCAACTGATGCTCTTACTCAGGGTCCCTAGGGATGTACCTCTCTCTGCACAGATGAGACTAGGAGTAGAAGGCAGGAGGAGAACAGTTTCCCCTAACCTGGAAAAAAAGCTTCTCAAAACTGTTGGCAAGCTGAAAGCTTTACAATAGTTTTACTACAGTCATCATTGTAATTTGGGGCTGAGCTCAACATGACTTTTTTTTCTTGGGTGATTAAAATTGCAGCTTGAAAGAAAGTGTAAATACATTTCAAACAAAAGTAATCACCAGTTTAAAAAACATGAAGTGCTATTTAGATAATAGTAAATGGAGTGCTCTGGGATTCTGAGGTTCTTTTTCTTTGTGCTCTGTGAGCCGTGTGCAGTCACAGAAGAGTGCAGGAGGGATCCCAGGAGGCTGCCACCTCTGGAACAGCACAGGGACTCTGGCACGCACGTGTCATTCTTGGGAGCTTTTTCCAACACACTCTGCAGTCTCCCGGGATGAAGACTCTGCAAATTCCCCTGATAATTTATTGCAGTGCTTTGTTACCCTGACTGTGGTGAAGCCTTTCTTATTGTGTAGCCTGGATCTCACTTGCTGCAGTTTAAACTCATCATTGTGCCTCTTATCCCTAGGAGAGGGAAGATCAGTTGTTTCCTTTCCCCTCATCAAAGCCTTTTTGTATGACGTAGTTGCAACATCTCCTCGCCTTCCTCTCTGTCAACTAATCAATTACAGTTCTTTTGAGAAACTTTTCAACCCATCCCAATCAACACAGTTTTGCAATACATGTGGTTGCACACAATAGGGAAAAAAACCCAGGGTTTCTTTTCCAGGTTTGACTTTGATTGTCAAAGCCATATCCCAAGCCTGTGCCTGGAACATCTCTCTCTTAGTGTCTCCTTGTATGGGTCATTACTTCTGAACTCATCCGTGATGCCTCTGTCTTCTCCTTCCATTTAAAACTTGCATCAGCCAGAACTGCAAAGGGAGAAGGATTTTTGTTGCAGTTGATCTCTTTACATCTTTATCTTACCATGTGATGGTGAAATACTGCAGTTGCTCTCTCATCTTACCTTGTGCTCCTTGAATTTGGGTAATGGACTGATCAGGGCATCAAGCAATTGACAATTTGTTAAAAGCCATAAGTGTGTATGTACATAGTGCTATAGCTAATAACAAAGAAAATAAAGTTTCAAATCCAAATCTGTAAAGCCTGCCCCCGTGCTTCTCTTCACAATGTTTACATGTTCAAAATAGATATTATGAAAGCTCTAATTGTATAATGCAGTACAAAAATTTTAAAAGGCAAATCTTTATCTGATTTTCAATAACATTCCATTTTTCTATAGATTTCTGTCAAATCGAGTTCCTTCTGTTGTGCATACTAAATCTGAAATTAGTAGATTCATAATAGACTGTGCTACATTAGTATTGAGAATTGCAAAGTGACACAATCTGTCATGTATTTAAATTGCTTGGCATTGTTAGGACTTATTTTAGAATATTGTTTTTGAAGCCAACTTCAGGAGCACTGAACTGCAGTTTTTGAAGTCTTTAAGTCACAAAAGTTCCAAGCTTTTGTGATGAACAAACATCACAGAATTCTGCAAAATGAACCCCAGTTTGACTGAGGCTCTCAAAGCTGGAACTTGAAAACAAAAAGGAATTTTCTAGTCTATGGTAAAATGTCTTAATAGAAATTATGCTTTTTTTAATCCAAAACAGATTTTGTAAATCTGGAGTTTTTTCTGAGAGAATAATTATCTCAGATTTTGTAAATGTGTGGACTATTTTGGCACAGACATGCTTCAGATGTTTGCCAATAAACGTGTTTGTTTATTAATTTGATTATATAGTTAAAGAAAACCAATCACTATCAAGAATTTCATAATTATTTCAAATAGCAGAAAGGCAAGACTTTCAGTACCCTCTGTGAATTAACACACCCAAGAAATTCTGTTGGTCAGACTTTTTTAAATGTAAAATTACACATGCCTGAGAACTGTGTGCTTTCCCCTACTCAGAATGCTTATCTGATGATGTGCTGAATATGTCCCTCCTAAGATAAAAGGAAGGAATTCTTAAGCAGGACAGAGACCAAAATCTGGTTCACTGTGTTGTTATCCATTAAGTCAGGTCTTGTTTGGAAGGACAGCTCTGATCTTTAGTAGCCTTAGTAAAGAAGTGATTTAAACTTCAAGTTTAAACTTCACGATGCCTCATTTGCATTAAATCATGTTGACAAACAGGGTCAGACGAGGTTTGACCAAGTTCAGTATTGCAGCCAACTCATATAATTAGACTGGATCAAACTCCCAAGAACAGATTTGCCCTTTCCCATGGTTGTGTGAAGTGATACCAAGCACAGGAATGTGATAATGTGCAATGTAGCTCTGATTCACAAAGGATCCTTTTTTTTTCTAGAAGTAGTGAGTAAAAACACTGTAGTGAAAAGAATAAGATTATGAGATTTCACACAGTTTTGACTTTGAATTTCTAGTATTACTTAGGACTGCAGTCCTCTCAGAAGCCAAACAGCTGCTCTGTTGGCCAGTAGCATCTTAGTAAGAGCTGGGGTTACAAACCAGTATTGGTGAAAGTGCACTTCAGTATCTTCCATCAAGCTGAAAGTGCATCCTGTGTTGTGAGAGGAGCTGTGCCATAATACTTCTGCTGACCCCTTCAGCTGAATAAGTAGCACTTAAATATTTAACATTATTTTGGTACATTAAGTGATTCTGGCTTTCTCAGAGATGGCATTTCCTTGTAGAGGCTGGTATGTGCCACGGTCCAGGCAGAGCCTTAGAATCAGAATTGTTTAGGTTGCAAAAGACCTGTAAGGTATCAAGTCCAAACATAAGCCAGCACTGCAAAGTCCACCACTTAACCATGTTCCCAAGTGCCACATCCACAACTCTTTTTAGATATCTTCAGGGATGGTGATTCCACCACTTCCCTAGGCAACCTGTTCCCATGTCTGACCACCCTTTTGGTGAAGAAACGTTTCCTAGTAACAGAATATGCTCACAAGAGAGAATGCAATCTGTCAGTCAGGTTCAAGCACTGAATATATCTATATTTAATATAATCCATATTTAGTGATATCAGTATTGATATTTAATAATATCATTATCAGTTTGTGTCAGGCAATGCTAGAGAAGAAACTTTCAGCTCCTCCACCTGAATAGTGTCTAAAAAAAGGGGTGCACAGCAGCTACAAGGCTCAGGTAGCTGCTTGGCAGTCACTTCAGACCTAGAACAGTATTAGCAACAACTCCTTCAGGGCTGGCATTGTGTTGGAAGTCTCTCTGATGGGCAGCTTCTAAAGAGCAGGAAAGTCAGGGAGAATGTGTTAAGCTTCATGCTGGCTTTTCTATTTAAATGAAAAGTATCTTTTTTTTTAACTCAAGTTTATTTGCCTGTGCCTCTATCCTGAAAAATACTATGCTCAATGGCTTCACATTTAAGTTATCAGGTGTAATCGAGTTTGTAGAAACATCAAGAAATACTAGCATTTTTACCTTTACCAGCAAGCAGCTTTTGTTTACTGACAGCCTTTAATGTTTAAAGAATATGGGGTTTGCTGATGCATTTTGTGTATTTTCCCTATTTTTCTAATTATGCATGTCTTCTATTCCAAACACACTTAAATGTGCGCTTGTGCTTGAGATTCTGAAGGAACAATCTTAGTCTTGTGTGCATAGGATCTAGTTTTGCAGTCTTTAGAGAGGTCACAAACTGCAAACTCTTTACTGAATTCAGAATCATCTGGTACTAAGTGGTAAATTGTGCTGTGGTGGATTTGAATTAAGATATCCTGGTTTTCCTTGCAGGCATCTTTTCCACAAGTCCTGTGTGGATCCCTGGCTGCTAGACCATCGTACCTGCCCGATGTGTAAAATGAATATTCTAAAAGCTCTAGGGATTCCGGTAAGCACATCACAGAGCAGCTGGTTGGGGCAGGAGGGAAACACCAGCTACTTGGGTATATCCTTAGCCCTTCACCTGTCTGTTCCCATCCTACTCTTTTTTGCCAGATTTATTAACTGATTTATTAAGGGATGTGCAAGGTCTGACTCTACCTCGCTCCTGCACCCCACTTCTATTAGCAGGGAAGAGTGTGTGTTTGGTGGTTGGTTGGGTGTTGGGATTTGTGTGTCTGTGGTTGCCTGCTTCGTGGAGCAGAAGATTGTTTACTGGTGTTTTAGTGGATTTATAGTTTCTTTCACATAGCTTTCGCTTGTGTTTTAAATCAGGACTGGATTTATTTTTTTAATCATGCTCTCAGTTCCAATCTCAAAGAAGAAGTCTGCAAATAAAATTTTCTCTGCTATACTGGTCAAGGACAACTAATTGCTCATTCTGGGAAACCAAATCTTCTTTCTGTCAGATTTCTCTTAAAGTCTATCTGGAGCAAGATCTGTACTCCTAATTCCAATTAAGAGGCATTTCTCCCATGGTGGGCCACATGACATACAAGACATTGTTAAGCCCTTTGTTATTTGAAATATTCAACTGTGGTTAGAAGCTGCCAAAGCAGTTGATCTTTTTAAGTTGCATGTTTGCATTCACATAGTGCATGTCCTGTTTGCCATACAGTTCCCCAGCTGGAGCTATCACAGAGCTCAGGGGCTTCTCTAGGAAGGAGTGAGTCACCCTCTCCCCCTGTGCAAGGCTTGCCACGTGACACTGAAGCTCAGTGCTGTAACACCACCAGTCGATGAATTAACAGGTGCTGTAAATACCCTCCCAAGTTAGAGATGGTGACGTGCCAGTTCCCATATGAAAGAGCTATATAAAGTAAAACAGCTCACGTGAACATCCTGGGGGAGCTGATCCAGCCGTTTTCCCGGAGTTCATTTTCATGGAGACCAGGAAGCAGGTTGCTGCAGAAGAGGGTCCACGGCAAGCGATGAAGTGTGTTTTTGCTGAAGTGGGCAGATATGTTAATCAACCTAATACAATCCAAAATAAAAAGATGCAATGGGAAAAATGACGTAGAGCATTTTAGTCGGGGTAACATGTCATTACAGCTCGGCTGCTTTTTCTGCTAAACCTGTATATTGTCTTTAGAATATTGAAAGATGATACAACAGTTCAGTCAGTATTTGAGATGAAAGCCAGAATGAAGGCTAGCTCAGCCATTCAGCATCTCTGCACCTAGGCTTAAATACAGAATTTTTTCCCAAGGTTCCATGTCTCAGTTCACAGGCCTGCCAGTGAGCAGTTATCCAGGATTCCGACAGCTCCTCTCCATACCCAGTGTATTGTTCCGTGGCTTCCACACCATTCCTGCACTCACACCGATCCGTTCACATTTTTGCCCAAGCACTTCATTAAGGTGCTCTTTATCAGGCTTCATAATCAGGGGATATAAGGCAAATCAGACCACCAGTTTTTGGAGGCCTGCAGTGAGATGTTAGAGGCTTCCAGAAAGTTTAGTGCTGTGAGAATTTACATCCATAATACAGCTCTCACTGGCTTCACTGACAGCTACTGAAGGCTAAGCATGTCCACAGACTGTCTGAGGCTGGGCACAGCAAGGGGAAAGGAAAACATGCCCAGAGGCCATCTGTAGAGGTTTTGTTTTACATGAGTGGCCTTTACTATATACAAACAGCTCTGTAGTGGCAGGTATAGAACCTAATTGCCAGGAATAATTAAAGTGCCATTCACTTTCCTCAGCCATCATTTCTCTCCTCACAGCTCCCTGTTCTCTCTGTACCACAAAGCAGAAAGGAGATCCATTCTGCATCCATCACTGAGGGCTTTCTGCCTGGAGTTTCTGTGGAAATAATTGTACTGGGCGTGTAATTAAAGACACTGCTGTAACATACATGAACAACTGGTTCAAATTAAGTTTTCCAAATCAGCTTTAGTGTTGGTCTGTCTCAATACTAAAAATAAAACACTTATATGTTAATGTTCCACTAGCAAAGTTTGTTTAGGGGATTTTATTGCATGAAGTTCTGTAAAAATTTCCTTGGGTTGTTCTAAGACAACAAACTGAAAAACAGCCCCCTACATCTTTTGGAGGGGGCATACTGGCTCCCACCTGCATGGATCATCAGTTAGGTTCATGAAGGGAACATAAGAGAGCCTTACCCCTCGAGGTGACTTTCAGTAGGAGCTGTTGTCCATGGGAACTTGGAGCAGATGATAGCCTTTGTGTCAGGTGTCCTCTGAGTGACAGCAAAGGAAGTGGAAGTCTGAGAGCATCTGGTAGCCTGAGGGTTAAAAAATCCTATACTGCTATCAGTTGCTCCTCTTCCTCTCTTTTCTTTGCCTTCTCTTCCTGACATACACCTCAACTCCTGCTTCTCCCTCTCCTGCTTCTCCTCTGCATAACCACTCCTTCCCAACCTCTGTCCTTCTGAGCTCCTGCCCTGCTGTCACTGCTCCTGCTCACTTGCAGGACCTGTTCTCCACCTGCACAGAAATTGTGTGTCCTCACCCTTCTCAGCACCAGCTGAGGGCAGCCCAGGGTGGACATCAGTCCTGAGGGCTTGCAGGCACTGGGCAAAGCTCACTTCTCTTTGGTGAGTGTAGTTGTAGGTGTTGGTACTGGATAAGCCACCAGTCTATCAGCACACGTGAGCTGATGTGTTTAGAGGCTCATTGCTTAGCCAGATGTCTGTAGGCTGCTGTGGGAAGAGATGTTCCCTCAAAGCACCTGTAAAGCTCTAAGGCTTCTCAGTGAGAAGTGGCAAACATTTCTGTAGAGTGGATAAAGCAAAATGTCTCTCCCTAACCACATTCTTGAGTCTTGCTGAGCCGTCTCAGGTGGAATTTCCACTCACAGGAAAGCAGCGTTAGGCAGGCACCAGTCTCTGATGGGAGACTTGAGTGCAAATTTGCCCAAGTCCTTTTCCAGACTTTTACAATGGGAGGAATAAGGAAATCTTATCACAGGCAGGGCTATGGTGTTTTTTTCCTGCCAGCAGCATGTTTGTCCTATGGTTGTTATTAAGGACCTGGCTTGTGTGGCTGTGGATATATTGTGCTTCATTTCACAGACTTGGGATTTTCCAGGAAGGGATTGGTTAAAATCCAAATACCTAAATGTTTCAATTCAGTTCACATCTGAACTCTCCATTTACTTTGTAACAGAGACTTCAAATATTATCTGCCCTAAACCCAGATTCCCCAGGCAGCTGTGAGACACCGAAATGTCTGCACTCCTTTTCACGGTAGCTGAGCACCCAAACACCTTCACTTTTCTCTGTGGCACTCTGCAGCTCTGGAGGATTATTAACTATTTATCAGCAAATGGTTGGCCTAACCTTTTCCACTCCCTCTTTGCTGGTGAATCCAGCTCAGACTATACTTCTCACAGCTGTAATATTTGAAATGGATTATCAGTTAAAGCGTCTTTCACTTTAAATAGCACTACATTGCTATTGGGATGATCATATCACATAAAATAGTTTCCCCCTGCTTCTCCCTCTTTTCTGCAAATATCTGCTGGATATGCAGTCAGATGGATTTTTGGCAGCAGACTGTGTGACTTGAAGCTATTCACTAAGAGCCTTAGCCAAGCCCTCAGAAGTCAATATAAAACCTTCCCTTGACTTTAGTGGAATTGTGCTCTCAAAGCACTTACATGAAAGGAATGAGTGAAACCAATATAATTAAACTTAGCAAATGTATCTGGGTCACTCTGGCAGCAGAAGCTGTAATGGGGGGGGGTGTGTGTGTTTTGATCAGTATTTCATATCATTAGTTTTATAGCATGCTGCTTACTTTGGGGCATTTTTTCCAACTAAAATGATTCAGGAGTAAAGGGATTAATTATATCAAACAATACTATTTTTACATCTTTAGTGTTTGATTTGGCTTTCAATTATAATCCCCACTCTTTAAAGGTTTAAAAATTTGTGATAAAACCCCATTGTAGGAATAACTGGCATCAGAGCAAAGGACAAACAACTGATCCCTTGGAAAAAATTGAAATACTTTTTTCTGTAATAGAAAAAAAAACAGACTTTTTTTTTTAAGATACACTGCCACCAAAGGCAAATTTAAGTTAAAAATGAAATTCCTAAAACATTTTTTCATAATAGCTGAGTGCTACATCTAAGGGATAATTTTGAATCCCTGTCCTGCATATAAGTGATTGGTATTTCATTTTAAAAAGTGCAGGTTCAGTGAGTTTCATTAAAACCTGGTATAGCTGAATGTGCCTTTATTCGAATTCTGAGGAGTTCTTGCTGCTTGTGGATTAGGCTGGACCCAGGCAACAACAATTCTAATTTTTATACCAAACTTCAGTTTGTGGATATAAGATTGTTTAAATTGCCTGCCTTTTTCATTAGGAACATTTGTGAAAAAGTACTTATGAGGCAGCAACCATTAGACAGGGAATGTATGTGAAAAAGAGAAAACATGCAAATTTCCTCCTCCTGAAAAAACATGTAAGCATATGGTAACCTTCTGTGCCTGAATTCAAAGGGATTTCTCTTGTGCTTAGAGTTAAGCCTCTCTTTAAGCCTTTGTTGTATCATATTTTGCTTAGTTTCTTGGTGCCTGCTATGGCAAAATAGGCAGGTAGTGAGATTTTCCAAAGTGCCTTAGCATGTGAGAACTAAGCATAGAAAAAATCAGATCCAGTGAAGAGAGTGCGTATCCTGTGACGTTAGCCATCTGGAAGCTGGATTTCCAGGCTAGCAGCTTAAGCCCTGTCTCTGCTTAGTGCTGAGCAGAGGGAAAGCAGAGGGGGCAATTCATACTTAGGGGTATGGGATGAATCCCACAGCGGTATTGTCTCAAACCACTGAAGTTAGAGGAAACCTAAGTGACTGATCCAGATTAGCTGTCTGATTCCTGAAAAATAAAGATAAATGGGAACAACTTAATTTTACGTTTCCTAACTAAACCAGGTGTCTGTGTATTGCAGCTCAGTCTTGCTGTGTCCCTCTGTCGTTGGTCTTGCTAAATCACATAGCAAGAAAGACTAGAAATCGAATAATACTCTTCGAATTCCCATAACTGCTTGTCTGTTTCTTTTCTTATAATTTTATTTTATAGGAAATACAGTATTATCAAGGGAAATGATCTTTTGATGTTTAGAAATTGTCTTACAAACAGCTTTAGCATTTATTTTTGCAGCCCACACATAGATGCACCCACAGGCAGCTCCCTTGGATTCTTATTCTGGGAAGCTCTGATATTGGCTCTATAAAATTTATATTTCGGGAAAAGATAATCATTCCCCTTCCTGCTGTCTGTTTACATTTGTGATCTGACTCAGCAATCTGCTTATGTTGAGCAGATCGTATCAATAAATGAGTTACACTTTTCCAAAACCTTCTAAAAGTATAAGTAATAATGTTTAGCAATTGTAGGTGACACAGTTTAATAATATTTCCGTGGCATACTTTGGGTCTCTCTTCCAACAGATTGTTTTAAGTACATGAAAACAGACAAACTCTGTGTGTTTATTCATTACATGTTGCCATTTTCAGTACTGAAATAAAGTGAAAAGCTCAAAATAAGTGAGAACAAGTAAATTCAATCTTTTTATCAGGTAGAAGCTCGATTTTCTTTTTTTTTTTCCTTCTCCTCCCATTAGCCAAATGCAGATTGCATGGATGATATACCTCCAGACTTGGAAGCATCCATAGGAGGACCACCAACCAACCAGATAACGGGAGCCAGTGACATAACAGTGAACGAGAGCTCTGTAGCCCTGGATCCCCCAGCCCGGACTGTGGGAGTACTACAGGTCATCCAAGATGTAGACTCCTTTCCCCAGGCTGGGGAGGCTAACTTCACAACAAGCAGTAAGTTCCAATTTCTGGCAGAATTTGCACTGAAATAAATGTTTAGAAACCCCAATAACAAACTGATCTCTTGAGGGCATTTCACTGGAGCAATGGCCGTACTTTAAGCCCAGCGGGGAATCTACAGGGTAAGTAAATTTAAATATCATGTGTTCTCCTGTACTTGAAAACCAGAGCACAGTGAAATAACACTGCCAATTTGTACAAAAAAAAAAAAAATAGAATTTTGTATGCTTTCAATGTGTTTATTTTTCACTTGTGTAAAGAGGCACCATTTGAACGGGTAATTCTCAAAATGTCTTCATGTCTCTCTGTTCCTAAAAATTATGTTCTCTCTTGAAAATCTACTTCTGACAGTTTAAAAGGAATGTTGTCAGCTGTTTCGAGTGAGGATTGTACTAGTCTTAAAATTCTCATTTTTAGGTAAAATAGCAGATCAGTAGAAAATACTTATCTGTTTGGTACCAGTTGGTGTATTGACAAGACTAGTATCATCAAATATACTTTGAAGGAAGGTAGAAGAATGTAACAAAATATAGGTTTGTGTATGGAGTTAGTGTAGGTTCTGGGAAAAACTATACATTTTCAGCCATTTCTCTAGATACTGCTATGGGCCTGGGCATGAAAAAGAAGACAAATAGTAATATCACGTGTAGAAGGTAGGAGACAGATGACAGAACTAAGATGAAATGATTTTACATTAGTCTCCTTACTCTTACATTTTCCCTGATATTGCAGCCAGCATCATGGCAGTGAAGATAACTTGTGGAAATGCTGGACTTGTGACCTTAGACACAGGTGACCCAGAAGTAGATTTTTAAATTTGGTTTTGTGGATTAGGTTCTGGTTTTCTTTAAAGGTCTGGCCTTTTTATGGTCTAAGTACTGAATCCAGCAAGGGGTGAGCAGCAAGGTTAATAAGCCCAGCCACCTTCCATGGCCAGCCTTTCAGCTCGTGGCATTCAGCTTTCTCAGGTCTCCTTGAGTGCTGGCAAGAGCTGTTCAAAAAAAGATATTCCTTCCAGTGATTGTTTTTTTAAATGCATTTGAAGCTGTTTTAAATAATGAAGGAAAGATGGTACCACAATGTAATAAAGACTGCTAGACACTGTTTTCAGCTGTGCCCTCTTAGCACTCCTGAAGCAAGTAGCTCCTCTCACAAATAATGATCCTTGCCCCACTGTTCTTTACAAGGTCTGCTGTTAAGGTTGAGAAGGAGGGCTGTGATGTGCCCTTTATACACACACAGCTGCATGACAGATGCTGGGAAAAGCCAGCAGCCTGGTCCAAAGCCCAGCACAATGGGCAGTCCATGCTTTTCATCCCACGATTTTGTCAGACTGAGAAGCAGCTCTGCTGGTTTCTCACCATGAGTAACAATGGTATTGAGGCTGCCAGGGAGCACCAGAGCTCAGTAACTCTCCAGACACTCTTTTCCCTCCAGGTTTGTTTCCAGAGTCTGCAGAAGGAACAAAGACATTTTTAATTCACTTTCCAAGTTGCCAGCTAAGTTAGATAACTGGGTGAAAAACTTGCTCTGAGCCAGCAGAGTACTGCAGGGCCTGCAGAGATGCTTTATTTTGCCTTGTTGCTCCAGTTTTCCCTCTTGCCATCCATTTGCCCCCTTACCTTTAATAACATCAGCCAATAGACCCTAAGACTGGACGATCCTGAGGGCTGACAGTGGAGCCCATGGACAGGGAACTCACACCAAAGCCAGTGGTCTGTCCTGGCAGACAGGCAGCCAACCATGGAGTGTCAGATCTCCATCACCTGAAGAGACTGGCCATGTCTGGGGAAGGACTGTGAAAAGGGTTTTTCCCTGGTTATTTCCCCTGAGAGAGGGCAGGAGAAGAGGGACTGAGTTCTGTGAATGTTGTGAGCCTCAAGCCATCACAGGGGTGGCCTGCTAAAAGCAGGCCTTTGCAGTTGTTTTGTGAGGAAAGAAGAGTCCTGAAGAAAACTCAGAGCACCTTGGGACTTTCCAAACCCAGCTGTGTGCCTGCCTATGCTGTGGTTACCACACAGTCACTCGGGGAACTCTGATTTGATACTTGGTTAGCTCTTGTCACTCACTCATCGTTGATATCTAGACATGAATCTTCATCTGGATTTCTCATCTCAGAGGGGAATACAATACTTGAATATTCAGCAGTGGTAAACGTGCAACTTAACCTGCTGTCACCACTGCATCCAAAGTGGTGTGTTTTGCAGTAGTTCCCAGAAGCAGCCATTTGGCCCCTTTTTGCAGCAGAGCTGCAGCAAAGAAGAGGTCTTTGGTTGGGAGATAGGGGCTGAGTTCCAGCAGTGATGGGAATTTGTCTCTCTGGTCAGATTATGTGAATTTGGGGCATTCAGGCACTCTGAGAGGTAGAACTTGGCATCTTGGGCAGCCTAAACTCTTAAGCCAGTGAAAGGGACCTTATATATAGTTGTGGTATGAACCCAAATGGTAACTAAAACAGAGGGCAAATGTAGGCTAAATAACTGGGTCATAGCTGTCATAATAGATGGGACTTCATAGGCACTGTGTCTGTTTATTGTATTCAGGCATTGTATTTCTCATTTCCAGAATCCTCAGTTACACAACTGCAGTGCTTGCTGAGCGTGCCCTTTCTGTGAACTAGACTGCCTGGGAATTTGTAAGCGATGACGCTGGCTGCTCCTAGGAATCTTTGCTGAAGTTGCTAGGTTCTGGCCTCTTTATATAGCATTAGTGATGGAGCCTACTCCGAGGCTGAATCTGCACTGGAAGGTTTTCTTCCTTTTGTTATTGAACCTGTGCAGACTCCAAGGCTCCAGTGCGGTCTTGATGTGGCATCCTGCACCCGGCACCACAAGTCCTTGCATCCTTCCTTATTCCTCACAAAGTCCAGTGGTCCAGGAGTTGCCTTCTTCTTTCCACCCACTTCTGCAATACTTTTCACTTAATTGTTGCATTCTTTTTGTCTGTTGATTAATCGTTCTGGTATTGTTGTCTTGGTTTGGGTTTAATTTCCCTTTCTGTGTTTCCAGTGATTATTCAGAGCCAGAAGAGCTCCCACAGTGTGTGTCTGGAGGGAGGATGTTTCCAGAATACTGTTCACTTTGGGTAAAATTCCATCTCCATGGTGGCAAAGCTCCTACCTACTTCAGTGGGACAAGATTTTAATTTCTGGAGCTCAGCCAGTGCTTTTCTTCTTACTTCTGTGTGTATGCTCAGCACATGTTTCCTCTTCTCTCCCTCCCTTTTGCCCCCTATGCTCCTGAATAGGTAATATCTTCCATAAGACCCTGGGAGATGTACTGTACTGTGAGCATCTGGATGGGACTTCATTTGGGGGCCAGTCCCTAGGGTTCCTTGCTGAACCAAGCATCTCCTGTTTAGTAGCACTGAGCACTTGAAAATGGACCAGCAGTTTCTCCCAGCTGCCTTCTACCAAGCCTTCATCAAGTCCCTTGGGCATATCGACAGCCCAAAGTCTGTTTGGTATTTAATCTTACTGACTGTTTGCTCTCTGTGGTGGGATTTTGTGTAGGATCCTGGGATAGCATCCTGCAATAAATTTCTGTAGTCAGCTGTTGAAAATGTATTGATGGACAAAGTGAAAAACTGGAGTTGGGAAAAAAAAAAGGAAGGCAGGAGGGTGAAAAAATTGTGTGAAATACCTAAGAGTTCATCTCAGCTGAGTTTACTGCTTTGACTCTGTAACTTTTCAGCTCTCCAAAGGGTATGAAAGAAGATAACGTAAGGATCTTTTTCTACAATAATGCATCATAGCAATCTCTGTTCCTAGTTTTTCATACTGAGTTATGCAAAATGCTAACATGTTTGGAAATTTCAGTGCTGGTAGAATTTCCTGCCCTACATATGAGGTGGGTGTGAGCTGGACTTGGCTAAGATCTGAACTTGAAGAAGCTCTGAGCTAGCTTTGGAGGGTGGATTTGGGATTTGAGGAGGACATTGCAATATTCTCTGGGTCAGGCTCAGCTGGGATTGAATGATATGGTTAAAAAGGTAGTTTTCTGGGAAAGTAGCATCTAGATTTTCTAAAGGTTGTATGGTGACCCTTGCAGGTGAAAAGTAGTTAATTTTTTTCATCTTTTATAGCATCCATGGTTATTTATCTCCCTCAAGCATTTGCTAATTTCTGCAGAAAATAATGTGCACTGCCCGAGTCTTTGCCCTCTCTTCATAAGTCCTTCTAGTTTTTCAATTTAGACAGGCTTTTATATTCTGTTCGGTGGGATGTCTCATCCCACTGCATAAGGCCTCAGAAATCCCACTAGCACAATCTCTGTAGTTGGAGGAAGATCCATAAATAATTTTACTGCAGACATGAACGGGACTTTTAGTACGGAACACCACAAGCTCTCCCCCGAGGTGTCATATCACCTGCAAAGTCAACAGAGCTTGGTGGACTGTATGGCAAGTGTGGGCAGTCTAGAGAATACCAGCAGTTCCTTTTCTGCCTCTCATTTTGTTCTTTCCATAAAACCCTGCCAACGTACAGCTCATCGTGACTGTTAGGACCCTTTCAAATCTCTTTGATAGCTCTTCATTAAATCTATTAATATAACTTTTGAAGTAATTATTTTGATCTGTGTATGTCTAAAATGTCTTTTTGAAGAATAATCAGCCTTTGGAAGTGGATGAAAGTGCATGATAAGAATCTGATCCACTGTTGTCTTGTAACCACTTGACTGTTCCTCCTTGCTATTAATAGTGGATTTCTTGGGCGGAATGTAAAGGGGGAGGAAAAGGTGGAAAAACTCCCTAGACAGTAGTTAATGCAGAAAGTTACTAACACTTGCATTAGCAAGTTCTTACACTGTCCCAGAGGGAGAACACTGATGGGACCTAGTTAAAGACTCAGCAGATTGGGTCCCATTTGCCTGGCATGTGACAGAACTCCTGGTGGCTCTATTAAAAGCTTGTGAGGATGTTGCACTAAACTGTTGTCATGGGCTGAAACTGCCAATGAGCTGAGCTTCTAGATTTGTTTTGAGACTAAGACTGGT